TTATGTAACATTCGACGATAATGATATGCGTGTTAAGTATCCAACAGCAAACAGCTAGCATAGTTCAGATTCTAAAAATGAGATCTAATCGAAAAACGTCCTAACCTACCTATAAACGGCATTTGAATCTACAGACAATAATGTGTTACACTATAAGCCAATTCATAGAGGAGATGCACATACTGGCACCATTTCGTAGCATTTTCTATTCTGTTAGCTTTGCCACCAACACTAACTCAGCAGCATCGTTCCACCAGACTCGCTCTCCAGCGCCCACTCCTCCTGAGAACCCCAGTCCCCTCCCTAGCCGCACCACCTCTCCCCGCCCCGCCCCGGGAGAGAGGACGCTCCACTCACCCCGCCCCGGGAGAGAGGACGCTCCACTCACCCCGCCGCCGGTGACCAGCCGGCCGGCCGCCGTCAGGCACAGCGCCGACACGAACTCGGTGTGCCCCAGGCAGTAGGCGGCGATCGACCACGTGTTGGGGTAGCGGGTGACGCGCACCTTCTCATCGCGGTCCGAGGTCAGCAGGTGGTGGCCGTCACCGGTCACACACTGAGGGGAGGGTCAGAGGTCAGATGTCAGAGCCCAGAGGTCACAGGTCAGCAGTCAGAGGTCACAGGTCACTGGTCAGCAGGTGCCGGCCGTCACCGGTCACACACTGGGGAGGGTCAGAGGTCAGATGTCAGCAGTCAGAGGTCACAGGTCAGCAGGTGGCGGCCGTTACCAGTCACACACTGAGGGGAGGGTCAGCAGGTCAAACACACATATTGTGAGAGGTCAAAGGTTACAAAGTATAGGGAGATAGGTCACACACAGAGGGAGGCCCAGGCCAACAGGTGTAGGTTGTTTGTAGATACACCAAGGAAAGGCCACAGGTCAAAAGTTGCCAGATAGAAGACACATACTGCAGTAAGAGCAATATCAAACACAGCATAAAATTCAAAACTGAACTCCTCATACCATATCTAGAACCATGCAGATGTGTCCTAGGATGAGCTGCGGTTTTGTCTCTGGCTCACCCAGCTGGCACTTGTAAACGTCTCCAGACTTATCTGAAAACAGTGAAACAGCCTTAGAAAACGCAAAGCGACCATCCATCCAGCTGTGTATGAGACGAGTGAAATGATGGAAGGGAAAACGACATTGAAGGATCATGTTGAGCACATTCGCCGGTAAGGAACTCTCACATAATCAATGAACTCCAACCAGATACTTAACGCAGCACTTTGCAAGATTGATATAACTCATATTTGACATGTTTGTATGAAAAAACGTAACAGCAACAAAGAAACATTGATATGTCGAAAATTAAAATAGAAACGTGTTCCTCTAAAATAGACCATCAACATCTATTAATTCGTTTTCGTCAGATGGTGGATTAATTTGACCCGACTGTCTGTGTCTGTCTCTCTGACTGACCGGCCACCAGGAGCGCCTGCTCGTCGCGGGAGAAGGTCAGGCAGCTGCCCTTGCGCGTCGTCTGCCACGAGGCCAGCCGGCCGCCGTCCTCGGCCCGCCACACGCACGCCGTCTTGTGGTCATTCAGTGCTGCCACCAGGCGCCCGGACGGGGAAACACAGACGCCCAGCACGCGGCCCGACGACTGCTCGTCTCTGAGAGCGGAGGGCGACAAACAGCGCTATATGGGGCGAATGCTACACTTGGTGTGTTTAGCACACAGTCAACAACACAAAAATGATGTTGTGACAATAAATATATGTAAGCTTAAAACACAATGTAAAAGATGATGTGCAGACTGCAGGCCTTACATTGACCCTAACTGCCTGTGTCTGAGCTACAAACTATGAGCTCCCAGGGGAAAATACTAAAATAGCATGACATATTTACATGTAGGTACATAGATATGGTCCAGCATATCCGTTGCATTTTGTCAAGTGGACAAGTTCATTATCAGACTAACCAGGTGCAATATGAGCCAAACTACCAACACATCTTGATCTAGGCATCAAGTCTTAGATGAGCCAGACTGTCCTATTGATACAATGATTTACATCTAGACAGGTTGATAAAAAGGTCTGTATTGTATGGTTTCATCTGAAATGTCTTGCATCTGCAAAGTTCCTCATCATTATTTAATTTGTTGCATGAAACACAAATGAATCAGCTGAGTCAGCAGCAGCGTAGGTACTCACCTTTCCTGTGGCTCATCTCCTGCCTCCTCTCCATTGGCCTTGGTTGGGTGTTTTGCAGTAGTCACAGGGGGGAATGTGAATCTCTTCAGCTCACCACTGGAAGTTAAACAGATACGGTTACAACTTACTGTCACATTACACACACACACACTGACACAGCTGTAAGACACCTTCCACAACACAAATTAATTAAAGGCCACAGATGTATATCATAAGAACTGGTCTATAATAGGGAATAAGAAGTATTACATTTTACAAGTTGTGCACTGTGCAGTATCTTAAAAAAGATATACAGATGTACAGACTATCGCTTAATCACAAATCAAAAATTCTTTTGCATGTTAAGGCATCTTGATAGTTGTATGTATGTAAGTTCCCAACCCCTGCATTACATGACAATTGGACATAGTTACCAACTGTCCCAGTTGAGATATTACTTAATTCCGTAGTAACAGACTATCATGCAGTGATAGTCTGACTATCACTATGTATGGCTTAGCGTTAGATAGTCTGACTGTCACTATGTATGGCTTAGCGTTACACACAAGGTCGCATACCCAGACCAAAGCAAAACTCAAACTCATTTAGTTTGGGCCATGCCACAGCATTTTACATATGAGTCTGATACCAGCGTGTTAACTAGCCAATATCAAAATGAGAACAGCTTAACTGCACAAAACTTAACTTCATTTCAACATTCAAAATATCGCAATGCATCTTGATCCCAACTTACCAGTCATTCAATAACTTGACCTCTCCTCCACAGCCAATGAATGCTGCATTGCCGACTTCTCCACAGCAAATCACTGACATGTAGCCCATGCTAATGCCTTATATGTGGTCGGACCTCGCTTTTAGAGTTTAAATTGATTCATGAATAATCAATAATAAAACCCCCTTGGAACGACGCCAACCCCTCCAACCACGGTCATAGAATACTAGGACGCCTATACCTCCAACAACCGTGAACCGCAGCCGCCACCACGACAACCAGCACTCAGGCCCATGTCGTCCCCCAGGGGGTGTCGAAGTCTAGTAGGAAAATCTGGCAAATTCCCTGCGTGACGTCACGTCGGGGATGACCGACGGCACCTTGCACTGAAAGATACGGCAGAACGGCTATTTTTGAAAAATGATTAAAAATACTTTTGTGCTGTTATGACGCATAAAACGCTTATCAGCATGTTCCTCATCATGTGATAAAGGCATATCCGTGGTCGAAAATAGCTGAGCCCCTCCCAATTTCCAACCACCGACCTCATAAGCAAAGGATGTAAGCGTAATCCTTAAGGGCGACTTTCCTATACATATCCGTACATATGCGTCCTTATGGAAATCGGTAGTGTGGCGATTGGCGACGCGCGCGACATCTGTGTGGCGACCAAGTGGCGACTGTGGCGACACCTGGTGGCTGCTTTTCTGCTGTATGTAGGCATTGGGGTTTTGCCAGATGTGGTTCCTACTGCTACACCACTATGTTGACCCAATACTAGAAAAGTTATTTTGCTAGTAAAAGGCAAGCAAATTGAAAGTTGATTTATAAAATTGCTTATAAATGATTACGAGATAATAATAAAGAAATTTTGATTGAATAATTATTTAAATAATCAACCGTGAAACTATATTCTGGTAGGTTTAGTAGAAATAAGACCGTGCAACCTTGTATTTAGGGCCTTGTCGTCCCCTATCTCTCTGCGTGTCCACTAACACGAATGACGTCACGCATGTGGGCGGAGCTATGGGCGGAGCCTAACGCACGCGGCAGTCCAAGCCGCCATATTTGAATTTATATTTTAATAGAATCTTGCCGATATTTTGGGTGAAGTCAATTTATATGGATAGCTTGGTGACAGTTTATCTATACGAATAATAATTTATTGTGGATGTGCGTATATTCAGCTTGGAATTGCAATTAAAGTTCCGCACCGCATAGATTCGAACTCGGGACCTTTGGAATACTGCGCGGGCACGCTAACCACTACACTACCGCGACCGCGCGGCAGCCGGCGGCAGGGAGGCTGCGGAGACATGGGGGGACATTTTACGCTTTTGTGAAAAAAGCAAAAGATTTAGCGAAAAACACGTAATAGATAACTTGCAGAAAATTGTCTGCTCTTTTAGATAAGATACTTAAGTTTGATATATCTTGTGCAGACTTCATTCTACAGTGCTTCGAAAATCGCTCATTTACATGGGGATTGAACGGGGCTTCGAGGACAACCAGAGTGCTGTTCACGGACACCTGCGGTAACTGCGGTAGCTGCGGTAGATCGCAGGCTGTAAGTCCCGCCCACTTGTGCGCACGTCATCACGCGTTCGTCTGAGGCGGCTGTGTCAATTTTCCGCCCAAGTTACACGAATGCGCAACTGCCGCGCCACTTTGCATGACAAATGGCTCCTGCGGCCGCTGCGGTCGGATCGTTTCGACCGCAGGAGACGCAGGCGACCGCAGCCGGCCGCAGCCGTATGACGTCATACCACCCGCCCCATCCCCACTTTCTGTGACGTCATTACCCGGCTGACCGCCGAGCCGCAGCTACCGCAGCTACCGCAGGTGCCCGTGAACAGCACTCAGCCACGCTTATTTTGTCTTTAGCGCGCCAGAGCTGGCGTCAAGGAAATAAATTGATGAAAGCAAGCTGCTAGGAAATCAAAATAGCTTCATTTATATGCATTTGGAAGAAATAAACGGCAATTTTACTACATCTTTGTGTGTTATCTATCCCATCCTTGATAAAAATAATGAATTAATTATGCGTTATCACATCATCTGAAATAGCTTTGAAGTTAAATACGTTCGTAACGTCTAAGTTGTATATACTGCAAGTACTGCGGTACAGTGTAACTTCAGGCGTTCTCAACGAGCGACATCTATGGGCCATATTTTAAGTTAACCATAACCAGGGCCATGCATGGCATCCATGCCGCTATATACCTAATTTAAGCCGCCTTACCCGATGGAACACACGAAATCGAGAACACTTCAGTCATGAATCGGCGTTCGTCCGACGTCCATATTGTGAAGCATTTCTTTTCTAAAGTATACTCGTAGTCGTAGCCAGTTTATTGAATGCATCGCCTAAATACCTAAGAATTATGCATCTTTGTGAACTACTCAGCTATTTGCATGAAGTAAGTATGAAACAAGAAATCCAGTGAGGCGCAAACTTTACGGATAAGTTAACTGAATTAACAAATGCCACTCATCTGCTTTACTAAAAGAACAAATAAATGTTCCTTATTGTAAGTGGGTAACGGATATTGAATGCATCCTAGTTGTTAACTTCGACAAACACGTTAATTGTAGTAAACACGTAGTAGATTCGTCACTGCGCCAATTCAGTTAAATTCTAGCATCACGATGCACGTCTTTCCCTAACATGGGGGGACAGATGTCCTCTCGCCCGCCACTTCCTGGCATTAGAAGGGCCGTCCGCCTCGCCCGCTGCTCCCTAGCGTTTGGCGGTCTGTCCGGCGATGCCGCAGCTGGCGGCGGCCACCAGCTCGTGCGCCTCCTCGTCCCACTGGTCGTCCTCCTCCTCGAGCCGCCAGTAGCGGCGCGCCGCCCACAGGCAGCCGTCCTTGATGACCTGGGCGGTGGAGAGGACGGAGACGCCGAGCAGCAGTCCCAGCAGGCCGCCGACGTCGGCCAGGAACTGGATGCCGCTGTAGGCGCGGTACTGGGCGGCGCGCGCCGTCAGGCCGGTCGGGTAGTAGATCTGCACCTGGCTGATGTTGTTGGCCAGCAGCTCGGCCGCGCCGCTCACCGACATCACGTACAGGCTGTAGAAGTTGTTGTCGCACGGTCGGATGCAGCGCGCCAGACACTCGCTGTAGAGCGAGTCCTCGCGGCGCACCACGCTGCTCAGCAGCGGCTCGAAGCTGGCCGAGTCGTTGCAGAGCGGCTGGGCGCCGGCGATCCACGGCGGCCGGCAGCCGTACTTGGCCTCCAGCCGGTCGGCGATGCAGTTGTAGTGGCACGAGGCGACGTTGTAGTCCTTGACGTCGGCGCAGGAGGCGTCCTGGCGCTGCACCGACGAGTGGAAGCTGCCCTCCAGCTTGGCCTGCACCCGGTCACCGGTGAGCACGCTCAGAGAGTCGTACCAGCCGAGCGCCAGGTCCGACCAGTTGTACTTGGGGTCGTGCACGGTCACCGTCCAGCCGACACCCATGCCGGGACTGACGTACTCGTCCGGGTCGCTGCGCAGGTACAGCTGGATGCCGGTCTCGATGCCGGGCCGCGGGTGGAGGTCGGCGCGCGGCCGCAGTGTGGTGCAGCCGCCCGACAGCGGCTGCAGCTGCCAGCTCAGCTCGAACGAGCGCAGCCCGTCGGCCAGGCCGGCCCAGACGGGGCACACGCCGTCGTTGCGGCCGTCGCCCAGCTGGCAGGTCATGATGGTCTCCTGGGGCGAGTAGCTGGCCTCTGTCCACAGCTGCTCCAGCGTGGCCGACTGCCACGGGAAGCGCGACCAGCGCGCCTGGAACGCGCGCGAGTTGCGGTCCCAGCTCTGGTTGTAGCGGCTCACCACGGAGCGCTTGAAGCCCTCCATGTGGCAGATGGTGACGGCCGGGTAGTACATGCTGGTGTTGTAGACGCGCCGGCTCTCGGTGCCGATCGGCGGGTTTCCGAGCGTCTGGATGCGGTCCACGATCTGGGCGATGAGGACGGCCACGCAGAGCAGCGCCACCAGCAGCCAGACCAGCTGCAGCTGCAGGTGGAGGCCGCGCCGCGACAGCAGCCGGCGCCAGAGCGGCGGCCGCGGCCCGGCGCCGGCCGGCCGGCCCGACCCACAGCGGCGCTCCACCGAGACGGCCGTGCGCGCCGCGCCCGCCGGGCTGCGCTCGCCCAGCCGGCCGCTGCGGATCACTATGGTGGTGGCCGGTCGGCGGACGGGCGCCGGCGCGTCCGGACAGCCCAGGTCCACCTCCTGGGCACACCACTTGGAGACGGCGCTGCTGGGTCTCGGTGGCACGCCCATCGTCCGGCCCCCACGCCCACAGGTGACACACTGCCCGCCGCTCCAGGATGCAGCCAGCTGCCATCGCCGACCAGACGCCATTAGGGGCAGTTAGAGCCGATAGCGACTCGAGTGCGCGCACCGTAATGAAGCTAATAAATCACTCAGACCAGCACAAAACGCAGCTCGACCGGCTATACGAGCCAGACAGCGCTACTGTTCTCCTTTGTCCTCGCCTATACAGCGAACACAGGGCGGCAAAATTCGCCGTCTGAGCTCTACTGAAAAGCGAACATTTCTAACCGAGCACCGAGCCACCAGTGATGCAACCCACCCTCAAACGAAGACCACATGACGGGTTCACACAGACTGAACTTCAGTGGGCCAGGGGGACAATGAATAGCTACAGCTAGGGATCTGTGACGCAGACACCATTGACACAATGAGCACGGTAATTGCACCGTAATGCCATGAACAGACACCATCATAAGCTAGTTTGTGGCAAATGCAAATGAAATGGATGTTAGTGAATGTAATTGGTGTTTAGCGACTCCAGATGTTGATACCCTCTACCCAACAAGACGTTCCCACAAGCCTGCAACATTGAATTCATCAGATAGCACCATTTGTGCAAACTAGATCATTTACCAAACAAGTCATGAGGTCGTCAACCGAGAAAAATCGCTTCCGCTTGTGCTCCACACTCCACAAAAAGCGAATGATTAAGCAAAAATAGAATAGATGAAAAAAGAAACAGCCGATTACCATGACTGCTGCAATTTCACTCATTTACACCTAAATTGAACTAGTTGGATTATGATCGTGACCTTAAGTGTCGAATTAATGATCATTTTCAGTTTCGGCAGGGGACAAGCGAGGGTGTTGGGGGTGCACGGTATGGAGAGAAAGGTAGCCGATGAACAGTCCAGAGCATGAAGTAGTCTCAGCGATCTAAATTTTGCCTGTAGAGAAGCTGTCACTCGATAAGCAGAAATGATAAACATCATACTACTACAACATACATTTTATTATACAATACACAAATCAGATTCAGTGCCTGGAAGAGCACAATTAACAAAGCATGGCCTACTCACGGGCCATGTGGATTGTATGTAGCTGCACAGCACCCAGTTCGTGTGATGTGCCTGCTGAAGACGTCTTAACGCGCCGCACCTATCACAGTTTGGGCTCTGGTCGGCGCTGCGGCGCTGCCTCCACTCGCCAGAGGACAGCCCCTGCGGCCAGCCAGAGGTAAGTCACTTGGCACGGCGGCGGAGCACTGCTCAGTCTCAGAACACGCGGTCCTGGTAGCTGGAGATGTTGTCGACCACGGCGCGCTGCTGCTGCTGCGGTTGCACGGCCGGCCGGGCGGGCATACCGCGCCGCGGCGGCGCCAGGAACTCAAACATGCTCTGCTTGTGCTGCTCCAGCATGCGGCCCAGCTCGGTCGGCATCGGGTCCGTCCAGAAGAAGTCGTGGTTCAGCGCCGTGTCCGAGTCGATCCGCTTAGCCGGGTCCAGCGTCAGCATCCTGTCAAGGAGGTCGCAAGCGTACGCGTCACGCACGTACGGCTTCAGGCGTTCCTTGACGCGGCGTTTCTGCTGTTTGGGCAGCTGCACCTTGTTGTAGAGGTCGAGCTCCTCGACGCCCTGCCAGACGTCCGGCCCGATGGAGCCGCACAGCTGCGAGATGAGCGTCAGCTGGTGCTGCTCCGAGCTGCCCTGCATGATGGGCGAGCGCGTCCACATCTCGGCCATGATGCAGCCGGCGCCCCAGACGTCCACCGGCGGGCCGTAGTTGCGCTCGCCGAGCAGCAGCTCCGGCGGCCGGTACCACAGCGTCACCACCCGGTTCGTGTAGCGGTTCCGCGTCCCGGAGATCTTGCTGAAGGCGCGCGCCAGACCGAAGTCGGCCAGCTTCAGCACACCGTTCTTGGTGATGAGCACGTTGGCCGCCTTCATGTCCCTGTGCAGAATGTTGTTCTGATGGATGTAGTAGAGTCCGTTCAGCAGCTGCTGCATCACCTTCTTGATCTCGCCCAGGTTGAATTTGACGTTGATGTTGGAGAGGAGGCCGGCCAGGTCGTGCTCGCAGAACTCAAACACCAGGTAGAAGGTGGAACGGTGCTTGTTGGCCGCGTTGGCCGGGCCGCGGCAGATCTCCAGCAGCGAGACCACGTTCTCGTTCTTGAGCAGCTGCAGGATGCGGATCTCGCGCAGCGCCGTGATCGGAAAACCCTCCTTCTCGTTCTCCATCAGCACCTTTTTGAGTGCCACGATGCGCGAGCGGTCCGTCTTGAGGCGCGCCTTGAACACCTCGCCGAAGGTGCCCTGGCCGATCTTGGCCATCCGCTCGTACTTGGAGACGTCGTGGCAGAAGGGGTAGCGCAGCGACTCGATGTACGAGTCGAGCTCGCGGCTGCTGCCGCCGCCGCCCGAACTGCTCGGCGACAGCTGGTACATGGCGGCCGCTGTCGGCGGGGGAGGGCACAGGTCAGAGCTTACATGCCGGCCGCTGTTGGCAGCGGAGGGCACGGGTCCGGTCATTGTCGGAGGGATGGTACGGGTCAGGGCCAACACTGGCAGCGACTCATACTCATACCCACTCCGATGTCCTATTTTGATGGTGGCTTGCATAATGTCGTTGCTCAACAAAAGCAAATATTTACATTTCATCTCATTCCTTTACAGCTTAAAAATGCCAGTAAGACTAGCAACAACATTGGACTTGATCACCTGTTCAGAGTTCTATTGGGGTTCAACTTTATCAATCTAAAGACCATCCACGTCATCACTTAAAAATAAGATTCAACAATCACTGAGGGACGTCCAATGACACTGAAAACAATCATTCAAACTGGTACGGCAAGGCGAAACATAGAATACAGCAAGGTTGAACAAAATAATTTGTCTAAAAATGTATATTTTAATTAAAGACATTAACTTAATAACAATAAAATTCGCCAATCTAAAGACTTTTTCCAAGCACTTTTCGTCTTAATTATAGTCAAAATATGTTTGGTTGTGAAGCCTTTGCTAATCACTTATGATTTATTAAAGAATGCCATCAAATATTGCCCTAGCCCCTAACTATATGTATCAGATTATGTTTGACACTGTCAGAGGCCCATGACCAGTAAAGCATGGTCAATAACATGCTCTTTTCACACCTATTGCAACTAAAAGGCTAAAAAGTAGCAACTGAAATGCTCAAACTTTCTTCCTATAGACTATAGTAACTACCATAACAACACAAAGGTGTAACTATGGAAGGCCAATGGCCATGATGTTTTGACCTGTTGTTGGTAAAAATTGAATATATATATATATATATATATATATATATATATATATATATATATATATATATATATATATATATATATATATATATATATATATATATATATATATATATATATATATATATATATATATTTGTTTTTCTGTGAAAGCAACAAGGTGTTTTATTTGTAGGTCACCTACTTGTCAGTTGTCACCCTTAATGAAAGATGCTTAAGTCCAGCTATCTCAGCTCACCAAAGTCCAAACAATAGCTGAAAGGCTACTTCATTTGGTGTGTCCAGAGCTCAGTGCCTGTCTCTCCTGCTCATTTCTTTCCATCTCTCTTTCACAACATTGCAAATCTGCTAGCCTGAACATGTGAATAAACATGGGTGCTGTTCAGAACTTCAGTCAGCTTTTTATGACCTACCAGGCTCAAGGCTGCCAGGTTGGTGGCATCCTCAGATTCTGATGGATCAAATTCCCAATGTCTGAGTAGTTCCCCAGAGATGAGCCAGAAAATGCCAGCAAGGAATTTCAATATTGATGTAGGTAAGGCAAAACAGGCAGCATGCTGAGCACATGTGGAACTCTGGCTATATGTGAAGATGAACTATGAAGTCTGCTATCTGAGTGATATGTAGGTTGGTAGGTAGGTAGTAGGTTGGTAGGTTGTAGGCATATAGGTTGTATGAAATGTACGTAGGTCGAAGGTTAGTAGGTTAGTAGGTAAGGTAAGGTTTGGTTTGGTTAGATTATGCTTTGTATCTACCTACTCAGCTCTGACTTCCCCCGCGTTCGATGTCTCCCGGACGGCGAAGATTCTATGCCGTCCGGGCCCAAAATGCCGTTCGATGTCGCACGGACGGCAAAGATTCTACGTGACGTCACGTAGAATCTTTGCCGTCCGCGCAGAATCTTTTGAGCGTACTACGGTGGGCAGAGAGGCAATGATGGCGCGTATTTCAAAAGCGGCGCAGCAGCTGTGTACATATGTTGTTGACATTTGTGAGCGGTCTCTATGGAAACGTAAACTTGGGCCTTTTTCAAAACTGACTCACATTGCGTAAGTGGCGCACAAAATGGCCGGTCTCGTCGTCCGACTGTGTGCTTCTTTGAACGCAAAATAGAATATTCTGCGTAGAATGTTCTTCGTCCGAGGAGACATCGAACGCGTCCTTCATCTTTAGATTTACTGAACTTTCTGCCGAGCTGGGGGTGCCTGGGAGCGGCAAATCTGGTGCCACCCCAGCAGTGAACTTAATCCCTACCGTCTACTACGGCTTCAAAGCCAAGCCTGTGTGGAAGTTGGAGAGTTCAGGCATCCCTATCTCAGCACAAACATCCACCTATGATGCTGAATTGAGGTTTTTGCTATCCTTTTTAGGGTTTTATTAACAACTAGATAAAATCAGCTGACTGGCTACTGGCCAGCTGGCGACGTACAATAGCTGTGGCATTTCTTGATATAAACACTGTAGTAGTAAGTAGAGGGACATGAACACTAAAAAGTAAAAATAGCACTTATAGAAAAATTAATAGGCAGGAATTAAGTTGTGCATACCTAGCATTGATACATAACAAGCTCTGCTAGTGCCAGACTCACTGCCAACATACGGCGCCAGCTGGCAAATAATCCAGAAAATAGTACCGCCCCCTTTTTGTTCCCTTAGGTAGGTATATAAAATTATCATGGTTGAAAGAATTTACCCAAAGCCCATATTGATATATTAGAGTAAAACTGCATCAAGGTTATAAATTTACCATAAATTGTGAAAGATGAGTTTCTGACAAAAATAAGATTTCACCACCCTGACCCATCCCCATCCAATGCGGCTTCCACTTACAAATACAAATATTTATGACAATGCCCGATGGGAACGGATCAGTATTGGTCTTGTAATTATTGGCCCATAGAAAATAGTAGCTACTTACCGCAATTAAATAACTTTCAAACGCAGATTATCAGCAGCACCAACTCCTTCGCGTTTCTACGACATACAATCAACATACAATCAATCCTGAATCCAAAGATGTTCAAAGCATGTTCTATTTTTAGCAAACTCTGTGAGTACGGCCTTGATTGTGAGTGCTAGCGATAGTCATAAGCCAACATTATTTGTCGAGTGACTTTTCAAGTCAAATTGAATCAAATTGAATGAAATTGAGGGGTCATGAATCAATATTCATATTATTTTAAGAACGTATTTGTGATTTGAAATAGACCAAATAGCATTTAAAGGGAAACAACATTTAGCATTCCTCAACGTTGATTGGTCAAAGAACATGCTAGAGATATATTGAACAAGGGTAAGAGAAAACCATGTATGAATCTTAAGCGTCATAAATGAATCACCATACGAATACACTTGGCTAGCAATTTCTATTATATCTAAATGCTACGATATAGAAGCTGTCAGAGGCGGTTGAAACCTATTACAAATAGTCTGAATTGCTGTTAGCACTGTTTTGAGAGACACTTCACCCCTAAACCTTGACCTTCAAGGTCAAATTCATGCTTAAACATATAATCAAGTAAAGTAACCGTTGAAGCGAGTTGCGAGTTGAAGAAGGCGTAACAGAGCGAGTTGAAGAAGGCGTAAGCCGAAAGCTCCTCGGAATTATCAGGCCTTTTTCTTACGATTTTGGATATTAACTATGAGAGTACGGTTACTTTACTTGATCCTATTACAAATACCCGGCAGGACCCCCACTGGTTGACCTGACCTAGCCTCAGTGCATGAAGACATCATCCATGGTCAAAACTAACATGATATTCGTGATCAGCACCCCGATAAACCCCTAGGAAGCCACGTTCTAAAATCCCGAATTTCCCGAATTTTGGGCCATTGACCTGGACCTGGAAGGTCAGCTAATGACCTAAGACCTTAAAAGTTAACCCGCGCCACGCGGGGGGCAGAATCTGCCCCCTCCCGTTTATCGCCAATAACTTCTTAACGCGTTAGGCCAGCGACGTCAAACTTTCAGTACCTTATCAAGGTAGGTACAGTCCACAGCAGAAGTAATGTGGGGTTGAAGTCATGGGTATCTGAAGCTTAGGAACGATTAGCCAAACGTGAGCCAGACTACAATGAAACTTTGAATGTAGCTTATATGTATCGTCACCCTTGCGGCTGCAACTTTAGCTATTGACATCTTCTTTTCGATCACTCCGCATTAAACAATCGCCAGTCAAAGCCAACCGTTGAGATTGGTAAAACCCTACATTACTTTATGTCCGTGAAGTTGGCGACGTCGCCAGCGACTTTTCCAGCGACGAGCACCGATTTCAGCCAAAACCTCGTCCAAGGTCAATTGGACCATGAGGATCACGAAAATCGAACCCATTCACCCCTAAACCTTGACCTTCAAGGTCAAATTCAAGGTCAAAGGACGGGGAACTGAAAAAGTGCCACTAAATATTGTCCGATTTTCAAAATTTTGGCACCAAAATGTAGCGCGTGCAAAGTTCTAGCCGCACATCGAAAACCATTTTCATCAAGGTCAAACTTCAAGGTCAAATTCAAGGTCAAAGGACGGGGAACTGAAAAAGTGCCACTAAATATTGTCCGATTTTCAAAATTTTAGCACCAAAATGTAGCGCGTGCAAAGTTCTAGCCGCACATCGAAAACCAGTTTCATCAAGGTCAAACTTCAAGGTCAAAGGACGGGGAACTGAAAAAGTGCCACTAGATATTGTCCGATCTTCAAAATTTTGGCACCAAAATGTAGCGCGTGCAAAGTTCTAGCCGCACATCGAAAACCATTTTCATCAAGGTCAAACTTCAAGGTCAAATTCAAGGTCAAAGGACGGGGAACTGAAAAAGTGCCACTAAATATTGTCCGATTTTCAAAATTTTGGCACCAAAATGTAGCGCGTGCAAAGTTCTAGCCGCACAACGAAAACCATTTTCATCAAGGTCAAACTTCAAGGTCAAATTCAAGGTAAAAGGACGGGGAACTGAAAAAGTGCCACTAGATATTGTCCGATCTTCAAAATTTTGGCACCAAAATGTAGCGCGTGCAAAGTTCTAGCCGCACATCGAAAACCATTTTCATCAAAGTCAAACTTCAAGGTCAAATTCAAGGTCAAAGGACGGGGAACTGAAAAAGTGCCACTAAATATTGTCCGATCTTCAAAATTTTGGCACCAAAATGTAGCGCGTGCAAAGTTCTAGCCGCACATCGAAAACCATTTTCATCAAGGTCAAACTTCAAGGTCAAATTCAAGGTCAAAGGACGGGGAACTGTAAAAGTGCCACTAAATATTGTCCGATCTTCAAAATTTTGGCACCAAAATGTAACCCGTGCAAAGTTCTAGCCGCACATCGAAAATCATTTTCATCAAGGTCAAACTTCAAGGTCAAATTCAAGGTCGAAGGACGGGGAACTGAAAAAGTGCCACTAAATATTGTCCGATCTTCAAAATTTTGGCACCAAAATGTAGCGCGTGCAAAGTTCTAGCCGCACATCGAAAACCATTTTCATCAAGGTCAAACTTCAAGGTCAAATTCAAGGTCAAAGGACGGGGAACTGAAAAAGTGCCACTAAATATTGTCCGATCTTCAAAATTTTGGCACCAAAATGTAGCGCGTGCAAAGTTCTAGCCGCACATCGAAAACCATTTTCATCAATGTCAAACTTCAAGGTCAAATTCAAGGTCAAAGGACGGGGAACTGTAAAAGTGCCACTAAATATTGTCCGATTTTCGAAATTTTGGCACCAAAATGTAGCGCGTGCAAAGTTCTAGCCGCACATCGAAAACCATTTTCATCAAGGTCAAACTTCAAGGTCAAATTCAAGGTCAAAGGACGGGGAACTGAAAAAGTGCCACTAGATATTGTCCGATCTTCAAAATTTTGGCACCAAAATGTAGCGCGTGCAAAGTTCTAGCCGCACATCGAAAACCATTTTCATCAAGGTCAAACTTCAAGGTCAAATTCAAGGTCAAAGGACGGGGAACTGAAAAAGTGCCACTAAATATTGTCCGATTTTCAAAATTTTAGCACCAAAATGTAGCGCGTGCAAAGTTCTAGCCGCACATCGAAAACCAGTTTCATCAAGGTCAAACTTCAAGGTCAAATTCAAGGTCAAAGGACGGGGAACTGAAAAAGTGCCACTAGATATTGTCCGATCTTCAAAATTTTGGCACCAAAATGTAGCGCGTGCAAAGTTCTAGCCGCACATCGAAAACCATTTTCATCAAGGTCAAACTTCAAGGTCAAATTCAAGGTCAAAGGACGGGGAACTGAAAAAGTGCCACTACATATTGTCCGATTTTCAAAATTTTGGCACCAAAATGTAGCGCGTGCAAAGTTCTAGCCGCACATCGAAAACCATTTTCATCAAGGTCAAACTTCAAGGTCAACTTCAAGGTAAAAGGACGGGGAACTGAAAAAGTGCCACTAGATATTGTCCGATCTTCAAAATTTTGGCACCAAAATGTAGCGCGTGCAAAGTTCTAGCCGCACATCGAAAACCATTTTCATCAAAGTCAAACTTCAAGGTCAAATTCAAGGTCAAAGGACGGGGAACTGAAAAAGTGCCACTAAATATTGTCCGATCTTCAAAATTTTGGCACCAAAATGTAGCGCGTGCAAAGTTCTAGCCGCACATCGAAAACCATTTTCATCAAGGTCAAACTTCAAGGTCAAATTCAAGGTCAAAGGACGGGGAACTGTAAAAGTGCCACTAAATATTGTCCGATCTTCAAAATTTTGGCACCAAAATGTAACGCGTGCAAAGTTCTAGCCGCACATCGAAAACCATTTTCATCAAGGTCAAACTTCAAGGTCAAATTCAAGGTCAAAGGACGGGGAACTGAAAAAGTGCCACTAAATATTGTCCGATCTTCAAAATTTTGGCACCAAAATGTAGCGCGTGCAAAGTTCTAGCCGCACATCGAAAACCATTTTCATCAAGGTCAAACTTCAAGGTCAAATTCAAGGTCAAAGGACGGGGAACTGAAAAAGTGCCACTAAATATTGTCCGATCTTCAAAATTTTGGCACCAAAATGTAGCGCGTGCAAAGTTCTAGCCGCACATCGAAAACCATTTTCATCAATGTCAAACTTTAAGGTCAAATTCAAGGTCAAAGGACGGGGAACTGTAAAAATGCCACTAAATATTGTCCGATTTTCAAAATTTTGGCACCAAAATGTAGCGCGTGCAAAGTTCTAGCCGCACATCGAAAACCATTTTCATCAAGGTCAAACTTCAAGGTCAAATTCAAGGTCAAAGGACGGGGAACTGAAAAAGTGCCACTAGATATTGTCCGATCTTCAAAATTTTGGCACCAAAATGTAGCGCGTGCAAAGTTCTAGCCGCACATCGAAAACCATTTTCATCAAGGTCAAACTTCAAGGTCAAATTCAAGGTCAAAGGACGGGGAACTGAAAAAGTGCCACTAGATATTGTCCGATCTACAAAATTTTGGCACCAAAATGTAGCGCGTGCAAAGTTCTAGCCGCACATCGAAAACCATTTTCATCAAGGTCAAACTTCAAGGTCAAATTCAAGGTCAAAGGGCGGGGAACTGAAAAAGTGCCACTAAATATTGTCCGATCTTCAAAATTTTGGCACCAAAATGTAGCGCGTGCAAAGTTCTAGCCGCACATCGAAAACCATTTTCATCAAGGTCAAACTTCAAGGTCAAATTCAAGTTCAAAGGACGGGGAACTGAAAAAGTGCCACTAAATATTGTCCGATTTACAAAATTTTGGCACCAAAATGTAGCGCGTGCAAAGTTCTAGCCGCACATCGAAAACCATTTTCATCAAGGTCAAACTTCAAGGTCAAATTCAAGGTAAAAGGACGGGGAACTGAAAAAGTGCCACTAGATATTGTCCGATCTTCAAAATTTTGGCACCAAAATGTAGCGCGTGCAAAGTTCTAGCCGCACATCGAAAACCATTTTCATCAAAGTCAAACTTCAAGGTCAAATTCAAGGTCAAAGGACGGGGAACTGAAAAAGTGCCACTAAATATTGTCCGATCTTCAAAATTTTGGCACCAAAATGTAGCGCGTGCAAAGTTCTAGCCGCACATCGAAAACCATTTACATCAAGGTCAAACTTCAAGGTCAAATTCAAGGTCAAAGGACGGGGAACTGAAAAAGTGCCACTAAATATTGTCCGATTTTCAAAATTTTGGCACCAAAATGTAGCGCGTGCAAAGTTCTAGCCGCACATCGAAAACCATTTTCATCGAGGTCAAACTTCAAGGTCAAATTCAAGGTCAAAGGACGGGGAACTGAAAAAGTGCCACTAGATATTGTCCGATCTTCAAAATTTTGGCACC